AATCAAGACCATCAGAAGCAGTAAACCTTTCGTAACTTAAAGCGCATCTGCACAAAGTATCGAAATTTCGATTTTGCCGCTGTGCAAGATTTTGAAAAAAAAATTTCAAAAAAAATGAATTTTTTACAGATGAGATAAAAGCTTAATTTCATTACTGTTAAACAGTGAAGAAAGCTTTCCAGAGATAGGCAGAACCTATATTGAAAAAGCAATTTTGAAGAAAAAAAGTTGTTCGGAGAGTAGGCCTAGAAAAACGGACATTATTCTTGCAACAAACATTCCCCTTGTATGAGAAAGATAATTTATTTGATCAAAAAAAAAACAGGGCATTATCTCCTTCCGTTGTCTGCACTGCTAAACAAGGAACGGCAGCCAAAAAAATCAAAGCACTCGAAATCTTGTTTTTGAAAAATCATGCTCTGATAGCTCTTTGCTAGAATTTTGTGCACAAAAAAGGGCTTGGACTTTGAAAAAGAGATATATAGGCAAGAAGAAAGGGTCATTACACTTGTCTTCTTTCATCCTTTTTTTAAATTGCTCTCGAATAGAAATAAAAAACAATATTATATAATACAACCATGATTATCAATCTCAAAAACTCATGTTGATTGGAAGATTCCCATCACACTTAGTTCAAATTTGTATAAAACTTACAGTCATATATTTATTCCTTCTCACATTTGGCTCAGCTGACGAGATGATGAGATGTGAGAGATCGAAAGCTACATCCCCGAAATGCACGTTCTGAATAGTCTGATTCAATTTGATGTGCCCACATCTCATTCACCTCACCTCCCATTCAGTAATGTCCACCAGAATTGCTGGGAAACCGTCTCTAAAAACACAATTATCAGCAGTGAGACGGCCGTGGCAGATGACCCGATCAGTTGGTGCACGGAGCATATTGACATGGTCGTTGGCTGTCACAGCTTCCAGCTGGAAAAGAATTTTTTAAAAATCCTCGGTTAAATGTTCCTGCACTTGTCTTTGATTACTCGTGGCATCACTTCCTTTGGCAGAGAAAAGTAGTGACCCAATTCTCCTTCTACGGCATCTTCCATAATCCGCAAAAGATGGTGTTCTAACGAATTTTGGTAGGTGTGAATATTGGCGTAGTTTTCCTCGATAACTCGTACGAACTGCAAGAGCATCAAGACATCAAGCGAGGAAGAAACAAGAAAAAGTAAATCACCTCTGGTGCCATGGATGAGCTGCTGATGGCGTGTATAGAGCCCAGTTTTTCAGCTATCTGTATAATTAGCATAATTGGAACCTAATATGTATTCGCACATCTGATCGGAAAATTAAATTATTTAAATATCCGATAACTTTCAATCACTCGATTACTCAATTACTCGAACTTTGACCGTACCTATATCCAATTACTTAAATTCGTATAACTCGCAAAAATAATACTTGTTTGTTTAAAATTTCTTGAAAATCGAACATTTGACGTTTATTCCTTTCAAATTTTCGATCATTACAACTATAGTATTTGGATGGGTTATCGACCAGAAGAACTAGTTGATAGCAGGTGCGAGGGGATGCGAGTTGCCCATATTAGGGAAGTATTTTCCGGTTTCCTTTCTGTATGCTAGGAATTTCCTAAATATAGATTTGCCCTGAATGTGCTCAAAAAATGTACTCGCAATACGATACCACGTCTTTTTCTGTCCATAAGGTCCTACAAGAAGAAGTAAAGGCATCTTTTTGCGCCCAATGCAAAGATGGAGTGTGAACCAAGCGAAATTACGAGTTCATGAATTATGCTACTTACCAAACACAGTTCATTCTCGGAAAGTTCTGTCACTCGCCGTCCTCTTACGAAAGTCGTCACGAATACCAAATAGGAGACGTTCTGATCATCGATCCTGAACGATTGCTGGAATCGACCACAAGGAATCGACAGATTGTTTGCAGTTACGGTCTCGTGAAAGAATTTCGAATTGAAGAAAGCAGCCTGCAATATTGTTCATATCACTTGTAAATCATTATTTTTCAGTCATTTTTTTCCATATTGTATAATTGAAACATGATGAACTTGCCAATTTTGCTGCTTCCGGCAGCTTCAAATCGCCTTCTCGCTCATCCTTCACTAGGTAGACGCGATAGCATTGTGGTCCGCTCTAAAGCAGATAAGATTACTGATTTCTCTGAAAAATCTCGCGCTTTTGTTTGCTCTGAAAGATGTTTTGAAGTGACGTAGATGGTTAAATTTCGATTGATATAGATGACACACAAAGCTATTGAGTTTCGATACGAAGTGCACCTAAAATCTCGAAGACTGCCGTTGACTTCGCGTGAAAACTACTTATCTCTGCGATAAATGTAGATTGAATAAGACAACCTATAACGGATAAGGGAGAAAGAAAAGAGAAGCAACTAACCGTGATTTTGATGATATCCATGACCCTAGCAAGCGGAGAGATGAAGCTTAGACTAGGGTCTATAGTTAGAGTTCAAACTGAGGATAGTTCATGCTAGAGAGTCCTTTTGACTTTATTATCTCCATGCTTTACTGGCAGTACAGAAATCAGAGCCACCTGATTTAAAAAAGGTAGGCACGCCTCATTTAAAATGAGTTCCCACTAAATCTTCATATATACTCTCACTCTTCATTGCGCGTATACAAGTATGGTGCGCTTTGGTATCATACCATTAGTTTTTCCTATTCATTAGAAACATGCTTTATTTGAGATACAATTATCTTGCGGTTTTGTACGAGGTCTAGAGCAGTAGTCATTGTCTCACTGGAGCGGAAGCTTCTCGAATAGCTCGACTGCTGCGCGATTGTCTCAAGCTTTGCACCGTGCTTGCAAATGTGTCCAATTACTCACCAGGGGAGGACCCATAGTCGAAATGGCCTTTTCAAATGAAGTATGTATCAGTATGAAGAGCATCAAACGCTGACCTGTACACGCTGAGTTATGAATGTTTTTTGGAGCAAAAA